TATACCAGGTCAACAGAAAATGTTAAAAGGCCAGAGTGGCTATATTAATATAAAAAATAGACTTCAAGCCAGATACCAAAGGTAAATAGACAAACTCATTAATGATAAAAGAGTCAATCAGTAAGATATAACATCTAAAAGCAAAGTTCCAACTGTTTTTGTAAAAAAAAAAAAAAAAAGTTTTCTTTTAGAAGGCAATGATACTGGACAGCCATATCCATTTATTTATTTTAAAATATATTTTTATTGATTTTAGATACAGGAAGGAAGGACAGGGAGGAGAGACATGGATACTGCCTTGGATCAAGCCTGCAACCTGGGCATGTGCCCTGAGAATTGAACCTCTGACCTTTTGGTGCACAAGACGACACTCAACCAATTGAGCCACACAAGCCAAGGCAGCCATGCCCATTTATGTAGGTAGTGTCTATGACTGTTTTCATGCTACAAGTGACAGTGCTGAGTAGTTGGTGTGATAGTGTATGTTTCACAAAGTCTAAAATATTTACTACCTGGCTTTATACAAATAATGTTTGCAGATTCCTAAAAAAGAATTGTTACAAACTGACATGTATATTTTAAATATGTTCAAGCAGCAAATATAAATAATAAAAGGAACTGTGTTAATGTACACTTGAATAAAAATCCTTCACAGCAAAAATTCAGAGCTTTGGACAATTCTAACAATGATGCATTTACTTAGTTTTGTTTTCTCCATTCGGACATGGACACACACACACAGACACACACATTTGCCAAACTCTGTGGCTCAAACTTGCTTAAAATAAAAAAATAAAAAATTGAAGAAAAAAATACATGTGTACCTTTGGGTGTTTGTTTTGTGTTTTAAATCTGAGGCAGACAGAACCAAAAAGCAAAAACCAAAAAAGTAGGCAAATTACTAAAGTTAAGAAAAGCAAGAGAAACAATGTAAAAGATGCAATAAGAGACAGAAAGGCTAGGAAAAATAGGAAAAGTGAACAAGGATGATGATAAGTACTCACCTTTAAAGCTGAAGTACACGTTTCCTCTTCCAACAGATGAGATTAGGAATAACAGGTTAAAACTGTTGTATTAATAAAAGGCTGCTAAAAAATATGGAGCCTCTGTCTATATAGGCCTTCAAGAACAGGAAATTTGAGTAGTTTAAATAAATGCATATTTGCATGGATGGACTGAATCTGCACTATCTACTGTGTTTCCCTGAAAATAAGACATCCTCTGAAAATAAGACCTACTTATAGGTTTCCTTCTGAGTGAAATATAAGGAATCCCCCCAAAATAAGGCCCCTCCAGGTTAAACATGAGAGATTTGGTCCACTGATTCTGAAAAAATAGTCATAAGAAATCCACCAGGAAAATCAGGAATTGGATTGTTATGATGATGTTCCAGAAGATGATGACATGATTGTCATTGAATAAATGAGTAAATTCTTGATACTGTAGGATTCAGTTTGTCTAGTTTGTGTTGACAACTACCGTACTACCGTACCGTATACAGGTAATAAATTTTCTTGATTTTCATTTAACAATAAATGTGTACCGTATTCTTCTTCATGGAAAAATAAGACATCCCCTGAAAATAAGACCTAGCACATCTTTGGGAGCCAAAATTAATAAAAGACACTTTTTAAAAATATATATATTTTATTGATTTTTTACAGAGAGGAAGAGAGAGAGATAGAGAGCTAGAAACGTCGATGAGAGAAACATCAACCAGCTGCCTCTTGCACACCCCCTACCGGGGATATGCCCGCAACCAATGTACATGCCCCTGACCGAATCGAACCCAGGACCTTTCAGTCCGCAGACTGACGCTCTACCACTGAGCCAAACCAGCTTCGGCTAAGACACTGTCTTATTTTCGGGGAAACAGGGTAGTAGGATGGCGATTAAAATAAAAATTAAAGATAATTCAATATTATTAAAAATTCAATTCTTAGGTGACATTAGCAATATTTTAAGTGCTCAATAGTCACAAGTGGCTAAAGGCTATGATACTAAGTAGTGTAGATGTAGATCATTCCAATTATCACAAAAAGTTCTGCTGGGCAGCACTGGGTGAGACTCAGTGTCTAAATTATAAAGTTAGTTTGGTTTTCCTTAGAGCTTTTGCTTTATTTATTTTATAAAACTTTTTGTTTTTTATTTTATGGAGTCTTTTGTTCAGTTATATGTATCCACTTAAGCATTTTTCATATTAAATTGAAAATACATGCAGTTGCACAAATAAATAAAATGTACTCCTAAACAAATATAGCAATTTAAAATTGCACAATACTTTAAAAAAAATTTGCATAACTGAACAAATGCATATAACTATATTAAAAAAAACTATTATAGTTTGATAGTATCTATATACTAGTGGCGTGGTGCATGGATTCGTGCACACTGAAAGGAATTAATTAGAAGAAATAATTATCACTATTCGCCCTTTCTCTATAATAGAAGTGTCAACTAAATTTACAATCGTCAATGACAGTTCGAAACACATGTGTGCGACTGGCACCAGCAAGAGCTTTATATGTATTGCACATGCATAAGTCAACTTAGCCTTTTATAGATATAGAATAAACTTGCTTAATTAGTCCTGCTTTCTGATTTAGCTCAACTTTTTCCAGCCCAGTGAAGCACCCCAATTTCTCTTTCAGGTAATTGTCAGCAACACAGCAGTAAATATCAACACGAAGTAGATTATTATTGTAGATCACACAGGGAGAACAGAGGATAAAATATTAACTGCAGCAGTTTTTGAATATATTCTGCACAGTGAGAAAACATGAAGTCATTTTTAAGGTCCATCATTTCTTACTTCTTTTTAGTCAGGTCCAATTTCTAAGCTTTCTAAATCTCTGTTTTCCAGCTAATGAAAAGAAAATAGGATTTTATTGAATCTCCTATCTACCTACTCTAGGACTTCTGTGAGGATAAAATGAGATAGAGGCATGGGAAAATGTTTCACATACATTTGGTTAAAGTGTAAAATGTTCGCACCTGGCTATAAAGCAAGTTGTGTTCCTGGGCTGAAGAAACTCCAAGGATGCTGGTTGCTAGGGAGAGGAAGCTGGGTGTTGCTATGTCATGTCATTATCTGGCACCCATAGTTACCAGTCGGATGGACACTTAGCATATTAGCCATAGATAGATAGATGGATAGATAGATATAAAAAGCTAAGTGTCTGTCCCACCACTACCTATGATGCACACTAACTACCAGGGGGCAGACGCTCAATTAAGGAGTTGCCGTGATGCACACTAGCCATTTACAAATAAATGGCACTGTGGACCTGGCGTGGACAAGCAACACTCAGCTTCGCCTAAGTGGGACACAGGCATTGCCACCACTGTGGAGCAACACCCCACCAAATTATAGCCAATGCTGCCAAGACCCCATGGTGCAAAATGCAGCCCATGGCTCAGCTGAGCTCAGAAACGGTGGTTGTGGGCACTGAGTAATAACATCACGTAGCAAGGCCCGGCTTTCTCTCCCTAGCAACTAGCATCCTTGGAGTTTCTTCAGCTCAGGAACACAACTTGCTTTATAGCCAGGGTGCAAATATTTTACACTTTAACCAAATGTTTGTGAAGTATTTTCTCGTGCCTCATCTCATTTGATCCTCATAGAAGTCCTGGAGTAGATAGAGAGGAGACACGGTAAAATCCTATTTTCTTTTCATTAGGAAGATGCGAATAGTGTTATTAAAATATTTCTTCTAATTAAATTCTTTTCAATGTGTACTAGTTTAATATAATTAACAAATTACCAAAACTTGTTTAATTTCTAAACATAAATTCAGATATACTATAGTTGAAAAATAGAAAAGTAAATTAAGTTCACGTAAATAGACATAAATAGTGAAATAGACATAGTGAAGTAAAATAGTTATAAGTGTAGTAATAAATTTAACCAAAATATTGATATAAAGTCTCTTCTTAAACATTACTTATAACATTTGATTCAAATGAAGAGTACTGAAAAATTCCCTTGTATTAAAGAAAAATATGAAAAATATTTAACTTACGCTTTCAAATTCATATCAAAACTAACAACAAATAAATTTTGAATATGTAGCAAGAATAGAATCCAAGTTATACAACATAAATCTTAAGAAATTCATAATTGATTGAAATGAGATGGGTGGGCCAACATGTTTTAAAGAGTAAAACTAAAGCTATTTCATAAATAATTCTACAAGGTATTAGTTTTATATGTGACAAATGACAGTCATTTTTACACATCAGCCATTTTCTAATTTTTATACATTTTCTTTTATATTCATTGAATTTTTTTTCCCAAATTTAGAACTTATACCATATATCTTAGTGTACTTTATTTTTAAAAAATATATGTTTTATTGATTTCAGGTAGTAAGGGAGAGAGAGAGAAACAATAATGATGAGAGAGAATCACTGATTGGCTCCTCCTGCATGTCCCCTACTGGGGATCAAGCCCACAATCTGAGTATATATCCTTGACTGAAATCGAACCTGTAGGCTGATGCTATATCCACTGAACCAAACCAGCTAAGGCTATCTGTGCACTTTAAATGTAGTAATAAAATTATATTAAATTCCCTGATATTTTCTCTTGTATTACTTTAGAGAAAGAGTTCTCTGGCTGTATCATGCCTTTTCTCATTTTACTAAGCACATTTTCAATTTATTAATCTTTAAGATTGTTATAACAAGCAAGTTTGATTTTTAAAATCTATATAATCACAAATAAGACTAAATTAAACAAGCAGAAAAGAGGGAGAAGCTACAAAAGCCTTAGAAAAGACAATAAAGGAGGTTAAGAATAATATTCTAATTTAAGAATCAAAGAAAACTCTATGCAAAAAGAAGTAAAAAACAGGAAGTAAAACTTTAAGACCAAATAAATCATGTATCAGTTCAGTTTCTTTACTAAATTAATAATTAGCTAATAATGTGCTATTTTTTGGTGGAATCAGAAATTATCTCTTCCACCCCATGTTCACCAGGAGATAAATATATAATGTCTATAAACTGAGATTTACAGTTTCTGGGTTTATTTTTCCACCACTTAAACTGTGGATCATTGCTATCATATTAGAGTGTTTGTTCAACTCCTCTTGCTGAAGTTTTACTTGCGATTCTTTCTCTTCCAAACGACTTTCTAATTGGGACTTTTGAACCTCTAGTGAGGAAGCCTAAGAAATTGGGGGTGGGGAGGAAAGAAAGAAAAACAATTTTGTTATTTTTCTCTTCACAGGTATTTTAAGATGTTATTTTTCATTTGTAAAACAACCATTTCAAATGACACATTATAAATATATATATATTTTAGTCAACTAAATTATATGGTTATTTTAAGGTAAGTAATCATTAAACAATAAAAAATGAATTGGGAAGACACATTCAATTTGTCTTTTTAAGTCAATGCTAGCAACTAAGACAATGTTTCAAAGAGTCCTTTGCAAATTATAATGTTCTAAATAAATGTGAACTACTATTATTATTATTACCATCTCTATAAGCAGAAAGAGGCGGCTATGTTCCTATACACAGCTACCTATATGTGATGTAAAAAACTGGGAACCCTCTTCTGCATTCCTTGCCCATTTAACAGCAGTAAGTGCTGGCAAACAGTAGATATTTAGTAAATATGTGATTATTTTAGAAAATACACGTTTTTACATTGTGAGAGAGTTCTCATAATAAACAACTGTCAAGCCACTTTGAGATCCTTCTATCCTCAAAACAAAACTATACTCAAGAAACAGAGTATTAATTTATCTAAATTCACCTTTTTCACAAATTAAGACTTTTTCATTTTACTGCAAATGAAAACTTAACAGATTCTTACCTTAATGCTCAATTCTTTTCTTATATGTTCCGATCTGCTTACTTCTTTTCTAAGGATATCAATGGTCTCTTCCTTATCTTCCCTTTCTTTTTGTAAGACTTTAATTTTTTCTTCTTGTATTTTTGTTTTTTGTTGTAAGTCTTAAAACAAGCAAACAGTCATTTATACTGACTTACTTGAAAAGCTTTCATAGCTATTATGTCATAAGAACAACAACAACAAAAGGCACTAGAAAGACAAAGAAATACCTTGCTGGAAATAAAAGTTTTACAGTATCTGACAAACAGAAAATACCAAGTAATTCTTCCTCTGTACCAGTATTACACAGAAAAATACCAAATCTCCATGTCTTTCCTTTTTTCTCTGTTCTAAAGATAATATAATATAGTAATGAGGGGAAGGACAATCCTCAGAGCTTAAGGGTTAGAAGAGAAAAGGAGAGAGAAAACTATGAAAAATTATATAGGTAGATGATGTTTGTGCTCTAAGACAAGTGAGTTAATACAAAACCGTTTTTCTGGATCACTTTAGAGATATCATTAAGAAACTAGTAACTAAAAGTTACCAAGCACTGCCACCTGCTGTTATTTCCTATAAATTTCCAGTTTTAAAAATTAATTTAATTAAACTGCAAGAAATATGGGAATAAAAGGAGAGCTGTTTAGGATGTGATTTAAGATTTTGAAAAATGAGGGATGTAGAAACTAATGAAAAACCAAAATAAAACCCCCTCATGTTTTGATTATCTTCCAACAAAAAATAATGTTAACATAGTATATGCAATTTGTTACATAAAAAGCTACTTACTTGCTAGTTTACATTCTCTGTCTAATAGTTGGTTCTGTACTTCTTTTCTCTGTTCTTCTATTTCTATTAATTGGGCAACAGTTCTGAAGTTATAAAAAAAAATAGAAGAAATCATCAATGAATCATTATCATTTCTTTTTCTCAAGTATTTTAAGAGAAAAATCCTAAGAATAACAATTACCCTTAAATTCTGTCATACATTTTATATGTAAGGTAAGTTAAAATTCTATTAATTTATCTGCAAAAAACAATGTTTTTGAAAATTACAAAATAATTAGAAGAACTAAAGACTTTACTTTTCATTTTGTTGCTTGAGCGACTCATTCAACTTTTTCACTGTCTCAATTTGTTTCTTCAGAGAATCACATGTGATCTGCAATTCTTTATTTTTCTTTTCAGTAATTTCATTCCTAAAAGGAAAACAAGATGAGTTATATTTTTATGAAAGAAAACATATACTGAAGAAAAGAAACTCAGTGTTTATTTTTTCTTCTAATCAAATTCCATACAGTAAAGGTTAGAGGTAGAAGGTTATAAATAAGCAGAACATAAACAGAGTTGGATTAACTCTAGTAAAAGAGAGTAAAGATGTGTGTGCTTTGGCTGACTGAGGTGGTAAAAATTACTGTGAAATGGAAATGTGTGGGGCTTTCACCTCATATTTATAAATATAGAGCCTTATTTTATAGATGTTACTGCATTATATAATTTCCTATAAAATACATTACAGCTATCTTTATAGTTATGTCCAGAAAGTGAAATAATTTCTATAAAAGTCTATCACTGTTAGCCTGTTGGGCATATTACATATTTAATTAAAAATGTCAAATTAATAAACAAAGTAATTGAAGATTCTAAATTTCTCTGGTCTCTTTAAAGCTCTGCATCTAATAGTCCTGTTTATTTTATCTGTAAGGTAAACACAGAAAGAAGTGATACTTTGACACCTTAACTATCTTACGTGTGAAAAGCTGACATAAGTGGAGCCATTTAAAATAGAGCTAGGGCAGCCATTCCAGAGGAACTGCCTTGCATGCCTTGATCCTCAACACTTTGAAAGGTTTGAATTGGGAAAAATGTTAGGATTGGGCCAAACAAACACTGTATTTCAAATAACTGTTTGCAAAGCTAACAGGAAAGCAGACATTCTGACTACCAAACTTTAAATTAAAGATATTCTTTAGAATTAGCACCACCATGTATAGCTAAATAATAACTTAGGCCGAAACCGGTTTGGCGCAGTGGATAGAGCATCGGTATGCGGACTGAAAGGTCCCAGGTTCGATTCTGGTCAAGGGCATGTACATTGGTTGCGGGCACATCCCTGGTAGGGGGTGTGCAAGAGGCAGCTGGTTGATGTTTCTCTCTCACAGATGTTTCTAGCTCTCTATCTCTCTCCCTTCCTCTCTGTAAAAAAAATCAATATAATATTTTTTTTAAAAGAAAACAATAACTTAGCTTATTTACACTATAGAAATTCCTTCCTTCTATTTATGTAATTATTTTCCTTCTCTTTCTTGTAAAGACCCCTTTCCTTCAAGCCCTAATTTGAATACTATTTGGGTTTCTGTCTGAATCAGTGATCTCAAATAAATACTGGTCTTTTCTTTCAGGCTAACTTAAACACAAAATGTCCTTTTCACTTTATTAAGTACTAAGATAACAAAATGACGGACACACTAACCAAATTTAGCCAGCGAAAGTGTTTTATCTCTCCTACACAGAGTTTATAAAAATCTAAATTTTAATTCCCTAATATTATATATGAGTTTTTCTAAGATAGGTTTATTTACTTATAAGATACATACAGCTATCTTTATAGTTACCCACCAGGCCCCTCAATAATTATTTGGAACATTGAAAGTCCTAGAAATCACTATTTATCATGGATCACTTGCTTACTTTCTCTCTTTCTCTCTCTCTCTCTCTCTCTCTCTCTCTCTCTCTCTTTTTTTAATATATTTTATTGATTTTTTTACAAAGAGAAAGGGAGAGGGATAGAGAGCCAGAAACTTTATCAGTGCCTAAATCAGACTTTGGAAAAAGCTGTTATTGGGGGAAATATTTTGTTTAAAAGTCACCTTGTCATCACACATTTTCCAGATGTTATACATTTCTACCCTTCATTTTTATTGGTGGACCTTGGAAAGTTAATCATTTTCTTTATCTCTTTACTAGAGGCCCAATGCACGAAATTCATGCAAGAGTAGCCCTTCCTTCCCTAGGCTGCTGGCAGGTACCCGGGCTTTCCTCCGGCTGCTGGCAGGCACCTGGGACCCAGGCTTTCCTCACAGCCCTGGCTTCGTCCAGGTCATCCATAAGGATGTCTGTTCTAATTAGCATATTATACTTTTATTCTAGATTAACAGCATAGAACACTAGAAAATTTTCAAATTTTGCCGAAACCGGTTTGGCTCAGTGGCAGAGCGTTGGTCTGCGGACTGAAAGGTCCCAGGTTCGATTCCAGTCAAGGACATGTACATTGGCTGCGGGCACATCCCTGGTTGCGTGTGTGCAAGAGGCAGCTGGTCAATGTTTCTCTCTCATCAACATTTCTAGCTCTCTATCTCTCTCCCTTCCTGTCTGTAAAAAATCAATAAAATATATTTAAAAAAAGAAAATTTTCAAATTTTAACCAATCTTGAAACATATAGCAAAACAAAGAACAAATTAATCACAGTGTTTTTATTTTTATTATTTAGTTCTTGGTCTTCCTTATAATTCAAAAAATTTAAGACTGGCTTAATAGACAAAAAAGCTTTATGAGGGAGGGAAAAGCAATTAATCCTATAGTTTGTTAGTGGGTGTATAAATTGGTATAGCATTCTTGGAGAGACACTTGGTAATATATCAAAAATTTAAAAACACATACTTTTTTTTAAATTATTATCTGTGTACATATTTTATCATTGCCCCCCATACATACCCTCCTTCCCCAGAGTTTTGTGTCCATTGATTGTACTTATATGCATGTATACAAGTCCTTCCATTGATCTCTTATCTCCCCCAGATCTCCCTACCCTCCCCGCTTTAATTTGACAGTCTGCTTGTTGCTTTACTGTCTTTATATCTGTCTTTTGGTTCATCAATTTATAATGTTCTTTAATATCCATAAATGAGTGAGGATATGTGGTATTTCTCTTTCATTGACTGGCTTATTTCACTCACCATGATGTTCTCCAATTCCATCCAGGTTGCTGCAAATGAGAATTTCTTCCTTTTTATGGCAGCATAGTATTCCATTGTGTAGACGTACCAAGTTTTTTGATCCAATCCTCTGCTGAGGGGCACCTAGGCTATTTCCAGATTCTAGCTATTGTAGATTGTGCTGCTATGAACATAGGGGTGCATATATCCTTTCTGATTGGTGTTTCTAGTTTCTTGGGATATATTCCTAGGAGTGGGGTCAAATGGGAGTTCCATTTTCAGTTTTTTGAGAAAACTCCATACTGTTCTCCACAGTGGTTGTACCAGTCTGCATTCCCACCAGCAGTGCACGAGAGTTCCTTTTTCTCCACAACCTCGCCAACACTTGTCGTTTGTTGATTTGTTAATGTTGGCTATTCTGACAGGTGTGAGATGGTACTGCATTGTTGTTTTGATTTGGATCTCTCGGATAATTAGTGACTTTGTGCATGTTTTCATGTGCCTCTTGGCCTTCCTTCTGTCTTCTTTTGAAAATATTCTATTTAAGTCCATTGCCCATTTTTTAATTGGATCATTCATCTTCCTTTTATTTAATTGTATAAGCTGTCTGTAGATGTTGGAGATTAAACCTTTATCAGTAATAACATTTGCAAATATGTTCTCCCATACAGTGGGCTTTCTTGTTGTTTTGTTGATAGTTTCTTTTGCTGTAAGGAAGCTTTTTATTTTGATGTAGTCCCATTTGTTTATTTTCTCTTTAGCTTCCATTGCCCTAGGGGCAGTATCAGTGAAGAAGTTCTTTTGGCATATGTCTGAGATTTTGCTGCCTGTGGATGCCTCTAATATTTTTATGGTTTCCCATCTTATGTATCCGTTTTGAGTTTATTTTTGTGTATGGTGTAAGTTGGTGATCTAGTTTCATTTTTTTGCATGTATCTGTCCAATTTTCCAAACACCATTTATTGAAGAGACTGTCTTAACTCCATTGTATATTTGTGCCTCCTTTGTCAAATATTAAAAAATACATACTCTTTAAACCCAGCAATTCACCTTTAAGAATGTATTATACAGATACTAGAGGTCCGATGCACAAAGATTTGTGCAAGAATGGGCCTTTCTTACTCTGGCTGCTAGCACTGCCTTTGATCCAGCCAGAGCTTCCTTTTCACTCTGGCCCAGAGCTGCCCTTCAGCCTTCCCACACAGCCCAGAGGCCTGCAGCAGCAGGGGCAGTGTGGAATGTCTACATCCTGCCCCGCCCCCGGCCACTCAAAACCTGCGTATGCAAATTAACTCAACATCTTCCTTGGGTTAATTTGCATATCCACTCCTGAATGGCTGGTGGGTATCAAGATGGTATGGTCGATTTGTATCTTATTATTTTATTAGTGTATATAGTAACATATAAATAAACTATTAAATGGCATCAAGGATAAAAATTGAATAAGAATTTACAGTTCAGTTCAATATGAACACCCAGATTTCCATTCTATTAGGCTGAATGACACAAAAGTGTTAATATTCAATCACTTTTGCACTATACAAGTGACCAACTTATATGGTTAAAACTAATGTAAATTGTGACAACTTAGGTCATTCAACAATTATTTATGGAGTGTCTAACTATGTACCAAGCATTGTTCCAGGCCCTGGGTATCTCTCAGTGAATAAAATAGATAAAACTTGTCCTTGCAGTGCTAACATCCCAGATGACTGATGAACAAATGAAAAGAAGTAGTCAACTGGAAAGAAATAGAGACTTGTATTCTGTTTTCAACTTTAATCCTGAGTATGATTAAGCAATATTTCATTTCACTAAGATTCATGCTAATTACTTACCTAACGTATTATTAGAATAACAGAGGCCCCGTGCATGAATTCGTGCACAGGTGGGGTCCCTCGGGATGGCCTGTGAGAATCAGGCTGAAACCAGCAGCCCAACGCTGCCTGCAGCTCCTACCTGCTGCTCCTGCTCACCCCGGTCCTCCTGGGCCTGCCGTGGGCTCACACCCAATTAGTCCCAATCGGGAGAAGTTTGAGCTACCATAGCAGCACTCTGCAGCAGTGAGGCCTGTGTTTGGGGCCCTCCCGAAGGAAGTGGCCTATGGAATTGGGCTGAAACCGGCTCTCTGACATCCCCCAAGAGGTCCCAGATTACAAGAGGGCACAGGCCAGGCTGGGGACCGCACCGGCGCACAATTGGGGCCAGGGAGAAACCACAGGAGGGCTCCAGGGCATGTCTGGCCCATCTCACTCAGTCCTAATCGGCCGGACCTCAGCAGCAAGCTAACCTACCAGTTGGAGGGTCTGCCCTCTGGTGGTCAGTGCACATCATAGTGACTGATTAACTGTCTGTCCCCTAGTGGTCAACTTCCCTCAATGGTCAATGCACGTCATAACAAGTAGCCTTAACCTATCATTAGCATATTAAGCTTTGATTGTTTGAACAGTCAATCAGTTACCACATGACTGAACATTTAGCATATTAGGCTTTTTTATATGTGATATAAATTTTTACAGATTTTAGGACCACAGGAAAGAAGAGCTATGTCTTCATTACAGATTCTAATCTTAAACAGAAACATTTATAAATTCACCTCTGAACAAGTTCCATGTAGGATTTTGTCAGTATTTCATGTTCTTCAGCCACAGACTGTAACTTCCTATTATGTTGAAAGAGATGCTCTATGTCGCTCTGGGCTCTTTCTGATTCAGCCTGCTGTGACTTCAGCAATGCACCAAGCTCTTCATTTTTTCTTTCAACTTCTCTCAACATACCAGCAAGTGTCCGTGCCTTCAAGAAAATGGAATAGAGACTTTTCCACTATCATTATTTAAACATGCTGTTTTTACAATTTTAAAGATTTAGCCAATATCTAATATCTAATAGGCTAGCATTTATTGGGATATATAAAGATTAGTCATATATACTTTTTATTTAATTACTTCTAACAAATCTGACACAAGCATAGTTTTTTATTTAATAGATAATTCTGACAAAATAATCTTGGTATGACCAGATTCATGAAAATGAACACAACTGTAATTACACTAAAGGCCTGGTGCAAAACATTCGTGCACTCAAGGGGAGAGGGGAGTCCCTCAGTCCGGCCTGTACCCTTTCAGTCTGGGAGTCCTTAGGGAATGTCTGACTACGGCTTAGACCCGCTACCCTTGGGGAGAGGGTCTAAGCTGCAGTAGGACATCTTTAGCACTGTCACTGAGATGGGCCTTTGTGCTTGCAAGCCCGGCTTGTGGCTATGGGAACATACTGACCACTAGGGGGCAGCACCTGCACTGAGTATCTGCCCCCTGATGGTCAATGAATGTCATAGTGACCGGTCATCCTGCGTGGTCAATTTGCATACTACCCTTTTATTATATAGGATGATGGCAGCTCTACATATAGTACTCAATGAAATGGATATAGTTATTGAGCTAGTTGTCAACACTAAATCAAAGTTTGCACAGCTCAGTTTTTGCACTTCGGACATGAATTGAGAAAATGATCTTAAACCATGTTACAGATGCTTAAACAAGTTGGCACAATCAGTGGCACAGCTTAGATTCACTGTGAAAGTAATTGTGACAAAAAAAATTACATAAAAAAAGAACATTAAAGAAGCAGAAAAGTAACTAGAATAAGGATACTTTCCCCCTTCCATAGTCCAAAAAAATACTATTTATTTTGAAGTGACAAATAAAAACCTAAGCCATTCTCTGCTTTCAGGACAGAGTCTGTAAAGCAGTAATACCCAATTATTTAGTGTTATTTTTGCTAAAAGCCTTTTCGGTAAAATAAGAAAAACACTATAAATTTTCCAATAAATTCAAGTCACATGCAACAGACAGGATATAAGAATGTGCTATGAGAAGAGAAAAAAAAAATGATCTTAATATCACTAATTTTCTTTATTGGAATTTATGAAAAATTCAATATACCATCATCAGTCAAGAAAAATAAATCCATCCTATATAACAGTGGTTGGCAAACTGCAGCTTGCGAGCCACATGCGGCTCTTTGGCCCCTTGAATTTTTAGCAAAGGCCAACTTAAGAGTACCCTAATTAAGTTAATAACAATGTACTTACCTATATAGTTTAAGTTTAAGAAAATTTGGCTCTCAAAAGAAATTTCAATCGTTGTACTGTTGATACTTGGTTTTGTTGACTAATGAGTTTGCTGACCACTGCTTAATAATGAGAGGGATATGCTAATTTGCTGGGATACTCTCATGGGTAACATCTGGCAAGAGTGGGTAGGCGTGGCTGTGTACCACAGGAGGCCAGGTACGTGAGGCATATCAAATAAAATAAAATGCAATTACAGGCCCGTAGAAAACAGGGTTCCAGGAGGAAGGGCTCCACTTTCATTTCTCACACCCAGCTAGGAAGACTCCCTAGCCTCCGAGCCCTGAGCAGGACAGGCACTCTGCTCCAGCCTGGGAGCCCCGAAGGGAAGCAGAGCAAAGTGCTTTCCCTCCAGGACCCCACTCCCCCTGGGAGTTCAGCTTGGAGGGCGCTCTCCCTGAGAACCTGGAAATCCACCTCCTGGGGCGACTGTGCAGCTATCAGGCCTGGCGAGCCAGGTAGAGGTGACCTACCTATGTGGATGTATATGCTGGCAAAGGCCACGCAGCTACCATAGTTGAAGTTGTCCTCATGGAGGACCAGGGGTAGTGGGGATGGGAGTCAGCCATGTCAGCAATGGAACCCCAGTTCTGCGCTGAATGACTAGAGCACACAGACCTCAACGGTCCTTGGTCACTTCCTGAGCAGCAGTCAGCCTGAACCAGGGATCAAACCCGAAACCTAAGTAGGTGCCCTGACAGAATGGAATCCAAACCTTTGCTATGGCGAGGAGCTCCGGCCCACAGCAGGGGCCAGCACACACCAGAGGAGTTTTGCTGAAAGGCCCACAGTGCAGTGGGTTAGAGCCTCCTCCTGATACAGCAAGGTTGCAGGCTGGATCCCTGGTCAGGGCAGACAAGAAGCAATCAAAGAGCGCATAATAAGTGGAACAACACACTGGTGTTTCTCTCGATCCCTTACTCTAAAATAATCAATAAAAATTAAAATAAAAAATAAACTGTCTGGTCCTAACAGGTTTGACTCAGTGGATAGAGCATTGGCCCGTGGACTAAAGAGTCCCTGGTTCAATTCTGATCAAGGGCACACCAAGTGGAGGGTGTGCAGAAGGTAGCTGATCAATGTTTCTAACCCTCTATCCTTTTCCCTTCCTAGCTGTAAAAAGCAATAAAATATATTTAAATAAATAAAAATAAACCCTCTGGTTTAAAGAGTTGCTAAAACAGAAAGTGAAGTCCCATCCCTTCCCATTCATTCAACAAATACTTCATATGCTCCTTCAATAATCACACTGGGAATGGGTGTTTATTTGGTTAATCCTTACCTGAGGGCATTTTTGCATTGATTTTTTTTTTTTTTTTTTTTTTTTTTTTTTTTTTTAACAAAGTGGAAGGAAGGGAGAAAGGCAGAAACTAATGTGAGAGACATCAATTGGTTGCCTCTTGCTGAATTCCTGACCAGGGTCCCGGATTAAACCTGCAATCCAGGTATGTGCCCTTGATCAGAATCCAACTCGGTACCCTTCCTCTGAACCAAACCAGCATTTTTATTTTCTTTTAAGTCCTCCTCTAAGAATATGTTTTCATTGATTCTAGAGAAAGAGGAAGGGAGAGGGAAAGAGAAACATTGATCAGTTGCCCAAGCAATTTGATAGGGATAGAATTCACAATCTGTGTATGTGCCTTCACCTGGAATCGAACCCATGACCCTTTGGTGCATGGGAGGACAGTGTAACTACTGATCCATACCGACCAGGGCCTGGAAGTACATTTAAAAAATTTTTTTCAGATCTTCCCTGGGCAGGTTGCTCAATTAATTGGAGTCTCAACCTGTACACCAAAGGATTTCCTGTTGGATTCTAGTTTAGGGCACATACTTAGATTTAGGTTAGATCCCGCTGGGTCAGCAGCCTACTGGTATTTCTCTGTCATGTGGATATTTCTCTCTCTAAAAATCAATTTTAAAAACATCCTCAGGTGAGAATTAAAAATATATATATTAAAAAATTTCCAGATCTAAAATTTTATTTGGTTCTTTTTTTATATTTTATTTTTCATTTACAGTTCACATTCAATATTCTGTCTTATATAATATAACCCTAATATGCAAATCAACTGAATGGTGGAATAACTGGTTGCTATGAATTGACCACCAGGGGGCAGATGTTCAATGTAAGAGCTGTCTCCTGGTGGTCAGGGGCTCACATCTGGCAAGTGCAGCAGAGGTGGCGGGAATGTCCATGGCAGCACTAAGGAGCAGCAAGCAGGTGGGTGGTAAGTGGCAAGGGGTTCTGGACTATGAGAGGGCACAGGCTGGGCTGAGGGACCCCCTTCTCCCTCAGTGCATAAATTTCATGCACCAGTGATAAATAAAAATATGGTTATATTTATTTATATATTTTAGAATACATTTACTTGGAAAAGATTTGAAAGGTAAGGTACTTGACAATGATTTTAATGCCTCTTTCAAAAATCAAGAGATTTTATTATAATTCATTACTTGTGATATTACATTATCTAGATTCCATTTCTATCTACTGGGATTTTCAAATTACTGCACTAAGTTCTCACACATAATATATTCATTATTTACATATACATACACAACACAATATCAAACTTCCTTAGTACCTACCAAGTGCAAAGTACTATGCTAGGGCCCGTTAGATACAGAAACAGTCTCTGACATCAAGGGTAGAGATGAGGTCATACAATTTTCATGTAGTGTGAGAACTATTATAAAGTGGGAAGCACAGGATAGATGTATAGAGGAAGGATCTCTAAATGTGTGTGGGAAGAAGATCAGAGTAGCTTCCTGGGAAATGGAGATATTTAAACTAAAATCTGAAGGATTACTAAGAGAGAGAGGAAATGGTGTTCTAGACATGGAAGAGCAAGTGCAAGGTCAGGGAAACCCAACACTGTCAAGCTCCAGAAATAGGAAAGTAATCTAATATGGCTGACTATAGAGAATGCACAGAAATGCAATGTGTGCAGTGGAAGTGGTTAGAATCCTAATATGCCAAACTAAAGGATTTAATGCTCTCTGAGCCAAAGATAAGCCACTAAAGCAAGCATATCAAACTGGCAGCCCACAACAAATATTTTTGTGGCCCAACCAATATAATGGTATTTAAGAAACATCTTAATAAAAATTTCATAACTTAATTTTTACAATATTCTGTTATACATAATTATTAATATCTGCTAAAGACTATCGTGTTATATTCATTTCCCTTATGTGCTTTATGTGCAGGTGCCTCATATTTCTCCGCTAATACTAGTAGCGAATATTTTAGCAGCTGATTTCCGTCATTAATCTTGTTCTGACTTGTTTGGTGTGTGCAACAGGAAATATTTTGCTTTCGGAGAACAAGAAAAATAGGTTTATTTGTGTTACGCTTATTAATTTGTACAGAGTTATTCAGTATCTGGTAAGTTAATGTTCAAGAAAAAATATAATTTTTATTAAAATATTTTATTATTTTATGTTGATGATTACTCATTTATTTTAGCCTTTGTATTCAGGATGTCTCTATCGAAATAAACCTACGTTTCTTTGAAAATTGAAGCTTTTGTTTTTTTGCGCTCCACATAAACTTAAACCTTATTTATTTGGCCCATGTTAGCTTTTGAGTTTGACATGTGTGCACTATAGTATGTTCAGCACTCCAGTGATGGAATCAGATTATACCCTCAGGTATCACTGTGTGGAAAGAATGGATAGTAGAATCAAATACAAAAGGAAGATGAATTCTGCTGTAAGTAGTGGATGGCTGAAAAGAGGGCAGTAGACTGAAGGTAGGAAGCCTAATTAGACACTTCCTTCCTTCCTTTTTTCCTCTTTCTCTCCTCTCCCTCTCTCTCTCTCTCTCTTCCTCTCCCTCTCTCCCTCTCTCTTCTTTCCTTCTCTCTCTTTTCCTCCCTCCCTCCCTCTCTCCCATTCTCTCTAAAGAGCAATGAAAAAAATAATCTTGGATGAGGATTTAAAAAAAAAATACATCCATTAATTAGAAAATTAGAGATATTGGTATAATCAAAATTAAAGGTAAAAGGGTTTCAAGTCAGAGGGAGTAGTTATGTGAAATGCTGAGAATAATTTATTTCAATCAGAGCAACAAAGACATAACTAATATTTTGTACATGTTTTACTTCATTTACCTTTCTACTCATCAGATGAGTCTTTATATTATACACACCTCTGTCTCAGCTTGAGTTCTTTGGCAGCGATATTGAGCAATCAGTCTATCAGCCTGTGCAAGGGCTAGAGCTTTTGCTTCCAAGAGATCTTGTAGCCTGCTATCTTTGGACTATAAAAGAAATTGCATTAAACCTCATCATTTACTGGAATACATCCATAAAAGCTTAATTGTTACACATAGTTAAAATAAGATTGTACTCACTGCTAATGTAGACAGTTTCATTTCATATACATCTATTATGTCAGAGAGTCTCACATCATTAATCTGATCCTTTACCTAAATTTTAATACAATTGAGTCAAAAATCAGAAAATTTTAACATCTGACAAAATAAAAAAGAGCCTACTAAAAAAAACAGAATCATTAAAACTTAATAAGTAACAACAACAACAACAACAAAAAAAACAAAACAAAACAAAAAAAAAGAATGCCATATCAGGCCATTCACAAACATTTCACTAACCTGGCTATTGTCTAAGAATACTTGGGTAAATTTGGAATGCTTGTGGGATTTTAAAACATATTACTTAATTTGAGGATGTGGGAAGGGTGGGCTGGCTGGGAAACAGTAGGAATATAATGATAGCTGTGTTAAAATATAGGATTTTTATGGCTGATTTTTTTCGTATTTCCAAAATATTGACATTTTTTACATTAAATAGTTTAATCAATCAAATCTGCACCTAAAGTTGTTATAATTGGGGCTGATATTCATTGATATGTAGCAAGCAGAATCCCATTTATAATGCTTTTTATCACTCACCACTACTCCAGACTGAAGTTTCTCTATTAAATCCTCAATGTTCAATCCAGGCATTTTATCTTTCAAAACTGGAGAAGTTGAACATTTTACTGATGTTGGAAAACTGTGATTTAATGATTGCAAAGGCATTCTTCTGGGCATATGTTCTGTTTCCTGTTGTCTATAGGCATTGTTTGCTGCTATACTTTCTCCAAGTCTGAATGAGAACCAGAAAGAGTCATTTTGGAAATAATCTCAGAATCTATGATGAAGTGGGATTTTTGGAAATATCTAAATTTGCTAGAGGAAACTCTTTCCTACTTATAACCCTTTATAAAAACTACTCTATGTTTGGTTTAGGGGCACTAGAACTAATTGATAAGTGTGAATTTATTTGTAAAAATTAAGTACAACATTACTGATAGTGGTGAAAAAATCGCTACCACTGGTATGCTAACATCACCTGGCCTTTATCTATGGTCTTCACCTTTCCCCTTTCTCTCTCAGTGTATGTTCTCACAAACTTGACTTCTGCTCCACCCCTTCTATTTATCCTGTCTGATTCCTGTCTCAGAGCCTTTACAAGCTGCTGCTTTATGTAGAACACTTGTCCCACTAGATCTGCATAGTGTTGGTTCCTCCTTATCGTCAGGTTTCATTTTAAATTCCCTTCCTCAGAGAGGTCCCTCTACTCATAATCTGCACATTATAAAACTTACTTGTCTCCCAACTAGAATGTAAACATCATACAGAAGGCCCGGTGTCTAATTCACTGCAACGTTTAAAATGCATAGGAGAGAACCTGGCATATAGTTGGCGCTGGATGTTTGTTAAATACTTAAATAAAATTAACACACCAAAAAAACCTACTTACACATCCATCCATCCATTATATAATTTCACCATATTAAACTGCTAAGGCAATGTAAACAAAGGTATAAATTGATATAAATGCACACCTGAAATAGTTTCTAAAAAGAAAATTATACAACACAAGTAAGATAAGGACAACCAAGATAGTGAAATGGTGGGAAGGTGACACATTCAGATAAAGATGAACTCCCACTTTCAGTGATGCTGAAACTTTCCATTCTGAAATGTGGAGGTTTTGCTTCATGTCAGATTACCACAGCTGAAGCAAGCAGACTACCACCATTTCTATCTTGTGACTTGAAAAGCCCCCTATTTGTTCATTTGTTTCTTAAAAATATTTATTATAAAATGAAGGGAGCCTGGCCAGTGTCGTTCAGAGGTTGAGGGTTGACTTATGAACTAGGAGGTCAGAAGTCCGGGTTGCAGACTCTATCTCCAGTAGGGGGCATGCAGGAGGCAGCAGATTGATAACTCTCTCATCATTGATGCATTTCTCTCTTCCTCTCCCTGAAATCAATACACTAAATATATTTAATTAAGGAACTGTTGCCATAGCCAGTTGCTGAATGGTTAGAGTGTTGACTTGTGGACGGAAGATTGCAGGTTCAATACCTGGCCCTGACCAGGGCAAGAGCCGGAAGTAACTAATAGATGTATCTCTAATACATCAATGTCTCTCTCTGTCTCTGTCTGTCTCTCCTCCTTTCCCATCCCTTCCACTCTTTCTAAAAAAAAAAATCAATGAAAAAAATATCTTCATTCCTTGGATGAGGATTAAAAAAAAGGGGGGGGGGATTTTGATTAAGTGATCTTTAAGTCTTGTTTTCTGTAGTTCTTCCTCTCTGAATATATGACTATTTAAATTACTTCTGAAAAATGAGTTTGCTAAGTCAGTTAATAGAAATAACAGAGGTTAGCAAACTTTTTCTTAAAGGACAAGGCAGTAAATATTTTAGGCTTGAGGGTCTATCCAGGAGTGGGAAACATCTGGCCTACAAGCTATATAAGGTCCGCAAAGGCATTAGGAGTGAGTTAATTAAATGTAGTAGGTTAGTTTTATGTTGATAATTTCGTATGTCCCTCGAATGATGTTATAAAAATCAAATGGCCCTTGGGGAGAAAAAAAATTCTTCACTCCTCGTCTATATAGTCTCTGTTAGAACTTCCCAACCCTGACTTTATATCATGAATATAGATAGACAATACAGACAGTATGAAAATGAGTCGATATGGCCCTGTGCCATTAACACTTTATTTACAAAAACAGGCTCCTGTTGGCTGGTTAGTTTGTTGACATCTCACGTGTACAAATGTCTTACCTACTTATCACTGCTTCAGTTTATTTAAACTACTTTTGCAAATATATTTATACAAATAACTTCAACTTTTTAAAAGTATAACCCTACTAGACATTTTGTTTGTTTTTCAAATCTAATTGCAAGTATTCTCTTAATGTTTAAAATTAATGAGTATAGTGGGTAATTTTGCCTGGCTTTCTGATAAAAGCACAGAACTTTTCTTTGGGAATCCTCTCACCCCCTACCTCCAACCTCCCACATTCCCTAACTCCCAACCTCCAGTTCATGTAGTTCTCATATCTAAACCCTTGCCATTTACCAAGGTCCCCGCCTTGGCAAATGACCTGGATCTGGTCAATGACAGTAATGCTTAGACTTAAAACAGCTGAGAAGCAAAAGCTTTTTGTAGGGAGGAACTAAACTGGTAGGATATAAGCTATAGTCCAGAGTCTACTACATTAAAAAGAAGTAAGAGACAGATAGACACAGGAGGTGCATAACATATTTAACCACCTGGATCTAGGTTTTCCCAGAGTATACATATACCTGGTCTTTTCAGTTGGAATCAAATTTTAATTACTTGAAAAATTACTGTTACAATGAAGACTTCAGTTCACTAATTTTCTAACTTGGCTATATTGAGGCCAATTAAAGAAACACAGCAGGATAGTCCCGCACTATAAGAGATATATTGCAAAGGATTACAACTCACACTAAAGCAGGAAAATCTGGCAGTGGAGCAGCTTCCAATAATATTCCCAATCCAGACTGGACTTGTTCTCTATTATCTGATGTTAAAGCAAAAGCCAAGGGAGTTATCAGGCGTGGATCCTAAGCAAATCAGAAACCAGAAAACAAGAGGCAGAAAGAATAAGTAATGTCAGGTCTTTTAGAGTAAGGTGAATAAACAGAGTAAATCATAAAATAATTTTAGACAAAGTTTAAAGTATTTCTATATGATGTTTGAATGTATTTATTAGTTTTTACCTTGTTATAATTGTCTTAACAATCAATACTAATGCTAGCTTTAAAAATCTGGCAAAGATTTTGAGTGTTTTTGACTGTACCTATAAAAATCATGTCTTAAATATTTTCATGAATTTAACATCTGACTACAACTGACCAATGTTTTAAATTATTGTTTTTTTTTTCTAGCTACCATTTAAAAGAAAAACTGGCTAATCATTTGCAAATTAAAGTAAAAAGTTAAAGTAAAATTCAAATGAACTCAATACAATTTTTAATTTAAAGACTAAAACAATTATAGTTAAAGCATAAGTCCGTCATGTTAGTAAATATTTTATATTAATACTGTAAGCCCCAAATCATCTATTATGAGAAAAACATTAGAACATGAATTCTTTATAATGATCAAAATTTTATTAGTACAATGTTAAGTGTCTTATAGGTACTCAAATATAATCTAACTAGTGGCCTGGTGTAAGAAATTCGTACACATTAAAAGGAAATTAATTAGAGGAAATATTTTAATATTGTTATTTTGTTTCCATCTCTCCATGTCAGTCTCTCCCAATCTCTTTCTTTGTTTTTCCTAGCAGTCCTTCAGGCCTCCCTGCCTCCCTCTCTCCCTTTCCAGGATGGGAGGGGGTGGGGCCAGTAGGGGCAGCTCCACCCTCTGCCAGCCTTAAGGCCTCATTCTGAGAGAGGCTAGGAGAGCAAGCTGGGAGGGACGGAAAGAAAGGGAGAAAAGGCTGTGAGCTGGTGGGTGCTGTGTATGTCTGTGCATGTGTGAGGTTGTGAGTGAGTGTGAGCGCAGGCCCCACCTCCACCGGCCTCAAGCTCGCTGCCTCAAGTCCCCACCCACCAGAGCCTGATAGGCATTAGGTCAAGCCTTCAGTCACTGTAGATGTTACAAACCCTGGCTCTTATATAAATATAAATATATATATATATAAATATATATATATATATGCCACAGAACCATGATAAGAGCTGGACTTTATCTTTGTAATCCCCATGGTAACCTCCATAATTGCTCCCATGGAGGGGGATCATTATTTGCATTTTGTAGGCAGGAACCTAGAGCTCAGAGAGGCAAAATAACTGGCTCAAGTCTGCAGTGTCTAATAAATAGTGGAGTCAATTACTAAACCCTGTCTCTTAAGCGTTATGCTCTTAAAGTGTACAAGTGGCCCCAGCCGAAGGTATATTTTGGCTTCTACTCTATCTACAGAGGCATGAGAACCATCTTGGTTAATTTATTAAAGTAACTTAATGCACACATTGTTATTAAATATCTATTATAAAGCAGGTTTTGTGGACATCAAGGTAAACATCTAGAGCTCTTATTTAGCTACTATCATTTAAATTTTCAAGTTAGCTACTTTCTGCACAGCCTCTCTAATCTTCCCATTCATAATCAAGTCCTTTTCTTCCAAATGTCTCCCTACCCCTTAATGTCCTACCTCATCAACTCAAACTAAAAACAAAACCCCCAAACAAATACCACTCCCATCATCACCACAACACCAATAGAAATAAATGAAGAAAACTGAAGTAGGACACAAAAAGAAAAAGGCTTAGCAAGTAGAGCTATCATGAATATTCTGTACATTAGAACCAGCAGCACTTAGGTTCAGTTTCTGCAAAAATGTAACATAACTATGCATTGAGAATATTATAGGTAATTAAGACAGTTAACAGCTTTAAACTTCCTTCTGATGCCAATTCTAAGGAAATAATCTTTTAAAAATTAAGAATTTCCAAATAGAAACATATTTTAGGAAGCATTTACATATGAGTAACTACAATTATTTGAAGAGTATAAACTCACCTGAAGGATTTTGTAGAAGCTTACTTCCATACCAGGAACTAAATGCTTAAGTCTGTTCATCAAATCAAGAGTTTTCAAAATCACATCAGCAGCAAGTGTGCTTAAAAAAAAAGAAGTCATATTTAAATTAGTTAATTAAAAATTTCCTTAGAGCTTATTTCTGTACATAATTTTAAAGAAAATGAAAACCAACATCTATGTTTTTAAACCTCAAGAAGATGCAGTACTGTTTCTTTTGAGAAATAAAATATTACTGAAAAGTAAAAATATCATACAGACCAACATCCTTTAAACTCAAGAACCAAAGAGAATAAATCAGTATTAATAATTCTGACGGAATTTTTTTTTCTATTCTCAAATACCACTATACCTCAACTTTCTGCTTCAAATTACTAGCAGCAATGGTAATATGACCCATTTAATTCTTAGCTTTGCCACAGGAATGTCAACAATAGAGGGTAATGGGGTAATACCTAAATTTACGAACAAATTATACTAAACTGTACCCAAAAGGGAGGATAAAAAAGTAAAAAAGATAATCCTTGTTATTGAAGAGTACAATTCTGACAAATATATTTATGAAAATTGGAACAAATCATAGTATCTAACTCTTAGCAGGTCCTCAATAAATACTTGTCAGATAAACTTAATTCATGTGGAGGAGGGGGTTAAAGTAATCCCATTATTATGCCATTTTTAACCAGAAATCTTAACATGCTAAGGTAGAAGGGTTGTCTTCGTTATTGAAAACTTTTGGCAGTGAATAATTTGCTCATGAATAAAAACTACATCTCTTTTTTCATGCTTTTGCACTTAAAGATATAAAATTAAATGGACATAAAAATAGTTACTAAGGCAATGTCAAAAAGATGTCCAGAAAAAGAATGCTCAGGTGTATAACAGACCCTTAGATAATTACAATAATGATCAAACAAATCTAAACAATGAAAAATAAACCAAAATGTTAATATCCTTCTTCAGAAGTATGTGATCTATGGATTAAATAGATTTTCAAAAAAAATCATTATAAAAATATTTTTAATTCTCCACTACTCCTTGAGAAAATAGAATATACCCCAAGGATATGCTTTCAAAAGATGAGAATCACTACATCTTCTTATTTTTATTAAGTTTGGCTGCACCATTTCATAATTTGAATTTCATATACTTACCCCAATTCAGAATCAGCTACCTTTGTTCCAAACCCCAGATCAATCTTGCCATATGTAAACTGTTGTTCTATCAGAGTGGAACATTTGACAGTAGTCAGAATTTTTGCAACATGCACTTTTAGAGTATCGTCTCCACATAGAGGTAAGTTTTGTTAAGGCACACAAAAAATTTCTCAAAAAACCTTATATTTGTATAGCACTTTATAGCATTGAGGATGATTTCATGCAAATTATCTCACTGAGATGTGGTGTAATTGTTGTTACATTAGCTCAATGACAGATTAGGAAACTAGAGCTCAGAGCATTTAAATGACAGGTAAGTGATGAGACTGACATAAAAAGTTTCAGACTCAAAGGTGAAACCAAAAGAAATATTCCCCTATTAGATGTGAGTCTTTTGTTAACAGGCATCACAATGGTTCAATAAGTATTTATTGAACTAAAGGAAGCTATTTTCTCATACTTTTATATTGTAACTTATTTTGAATACTAGAGGCCCGGTGCATGGGTTTGTACACTGGTGGGGCCCCTCTGCCTAGCCTGCAGAGATCAGGCCAAAACCGGCTCTCCAACATCCCCGAGGGGTCCAAATTGCAAGAAGGCAGAGGACAGACAGAGAGACCCCATCAATGCACAATCAGGAGTGGGAGGGATTGTGGGAGGGCTCCAGGGTACTTCTGGCCCATCTTGCCCAGTCCCAATCGGCCAGACCCCAGCAGCAAGCTTACCTACTGGTCGGAGTGTCTGCCCCCTGGGGGTTAGTGTGCATCATAGTGACTGGTTGAATGTGGTTGGATACTTAGCATATTAGGCTTTTATTATATAGGATTTATCATTGAAAAGAGTCAAGTTTTCCTCTGATCTGGCAGCTCAGCGGATCAGAGCACTGTTCTGATGCCAAAGTTGTGGGTTTGATCCCTGGTCAGGACACACACAAGAATCAACCAATGAATGAATATAAATAAGTGGAACAAATTGATGTTTCTCTCTCTCATAAATAAATAAATAAACAAATAGGTACCAATCAATAAGAGAAAGCCTGAATATATTATGGATAAGGTCAAGCAAAGCAATCATTTATCTCTATAGCAATGGTTTTCAATTCTGGCTGTATGTCAGAGTCACCTAGGTCAGTGGTCAGCAAACTCATTAGTCAACAGAGCCAAATATCAACAGTACAACGATTGAAATTTCTTTTGAGAACCAAACTTTTTAAACTTCTTCTAATGCCACTTCTGCCCAGACCATGATATTTTGTGGAAGAGCCACACTCAAGGGGCCAAAGAGCCACATGTAGATTACAAGCCAAAGTTTGCCAGCCACGGACTTAGGAAGTTTAAAAAAATAATCATAAACACTCCTCCCCATTAGGTTTTCACATTACTCCAGTTAAATTAGAATCTCTGGAAGTAAGATTCTGGTATCAGTATTTTTAAAATGTTCTCCTAGTGATTCTAATAAACAGCCCACTTTGAGAGTCACTGCTATAAAGAAAGAAGGTAATTAAGCAGCAGCAGCTCAGAGAGGAGAGGAAAGAGATGTGGTGCTTGTTCTAAGGCAGGACAAAGTTAAGCAAATTCTTCTTGCTTTGAGATACAAAGAAACAAAATGTAAGAGATTTGGCTCAAATATAGTGGTTCCTTACTGATAATTTTTAAAAAAAGCATTATTAAGTGGAGGGTTAGAATCAGCTGATCTAAAAAAAAACTAACAAAGACAGACCTAAGAAAGTCAGTATACAGAAGTTAAGCAGTGACACTAATTATACCAAGGTCTTTTTTTCTTTTAATGAGTTAATTTGTCTTGATAACATTTGTCTGTTTTATAATCAAGTGTGATATCACCTTTCTTAAAAACATTTATGCATTAATTTATAAAACAGAGCTAAAATTTACTGAGCTAAAATAATGACACCTTTATCAACATTTATTTATTCTGATAGATTCCACCAAAGATGGCGCAACAAATCACCCATGGGCAACTATTAGCATCAGAAGAAAGTGAAAGGGCAGTTATTTTAGAATATAGATACTAATCTACAATTATGATAAAAATATCTAAATCAAGTTTAAAATGCATTTCTGAAAATGTTCTTTAGCTTAAAAGTTTTGCACAAATATAAGGAAAAAATGTCTGAATAACTTTTATAGAAGTTATTCATTGAGGATTAGTTCTATATTTAAACTTCAGTTCAATAATTGTGAAGAGATGAGCATGAGAAACAAAATTATAACCAAAAACAAAATGCAGTAAATACAATGCTGGTGGAAAAACTTATTTAGTTTCCATATTTGTAATAGTAAAGGATATTTAGCAAAACTTCAGTAGCTTTGATCATCCTTTCACATTTTTTTCTTATTAAGGCCTCATCTAGATTTTGATCTGTGAAGTGAAGCTGATCAAGGACTGTAGGCAGCAGAAGGGTCACAAAACGGTCAGCTAAGGAACTGTTAGCACTATCTATGATATCCTGGAATATAACGACCACCAATGATTAAAAACAAAACAAAACAAAAGATGGAATACAGAATGCAGAAGTAATCATCACAGAGCTGCAATATTCTCTTTAAATTTTTTACTTAATAGTTCATTGGCCTGTGCCTCCTATTTAAAATCTACCCTTTTATCCAGTATTGAGACTATGCTGAGCTTTTCTTCAAATGGAACAATAAGGTTTTGGGTTAATCAACAGCAAACAATTTCTAAATAGATTATACTTGTGATTTTAAAATTATTATAAAGTGTACTAAAAACAAATATCCAGAATTTGCTAAATGTAATTACAATAATTAAACAGACACTAATTTTAATGCTTTACAACCACAAATAATTTCCATCAAGAATCTCAAAGGGCTCTTTAAATATTACAACTGATTAACAGGCAAGACCAATATAAAACAGAAAAAACAACTTGTGCATAATTCCTAACAAATACATTTAATCATTCATACACATTTGTTTGTGCATAGGATCTATCTAGTAAGGGAAGGGGAAACATTCTAGGAAGAGAATGAGGGTAGGTGGAATGGGTAAAAACAGGGAGAATAGTGGTAAATACAAAATGACTGAGGTAGTAGAATCTGCTGGAATATAATGGCCTCTACGGAAGAAATTTTGTCTGTATTCTAAGTGTTTAGACATGCCTAGTGTGCTCAATGATACTTCACTGACTGAATCCAATGTTCCTCTGTTAATCAACTAAAAAGGCTAATAAAGAGAGCAGACAGCATCTACTGAGACAGATAGAACGTGATTACTTCAAAAAACAGTAAAACATACAAACCATAAACCTTTACTTATTACCCTCAAAGGAGTACATATTAAGCTATTCAGTATGTAAATAAAAAAGAAAACACTAATATTTGTGATTTTGCCAGAGAAAAAAAATTCAGTAGCTGAATGTTAGGGAGCCTAGTAATAGAAAAGGTTTCCTAAAACATATGAACAACTGGAAGTTTATTATGTACATTTTTAAAAAAACAACTGAGAATCATGAGAATGGAAAAGTCAAATTGTCAAATATTACCTCAAATATTTCCTTAAATAGTTCCAATGCTAAAATAGAACAGTTTTCTGATCCATCCAAGGGTTGGCTTGACCATCGAAGAAGAGCTACAGTAGGTTCTACACATTTAGAACGGCTTCCCAGAACAGTGTTGCCAGATGGAGACTGTTCAAATATCATCTGAGTGAGCACATGGCGCAGCTGAGTCACTGAACAGAAGGCAAGAAGTAATTCTAAAACCTGTGCAATATAAAGTCTTTATTAAATGTCAATTTCTTAGACTTTAGTGCACAATCAAATTATAAAGCTAAAATTGACATACATTTTTAAAGAAAACACTTTCAACAAAAATTAGGAGCAGCTTCCAATTTTTCTTTCAGTATTATTTTTCAAAATGAGTTAAAAGTTTCCACATGATTACAAAGTAATTTATTAGTGATGGTTACTTTTGATTAACAGGACTATGAGGGCCAAAGGAGGAAGGGCAACTTCAACTAATGTTTATATTCCTTCTATAGTACTTAATTTTTTTAAGTTTTGTTTAAAAAACAAAACAAAAACACAAGCATTAAAAATAATTAACATTTGCTATCATACTATATAGAGGCCCCTAGTATAGTATAAAAGATTAAAAAAGGGTAATTGCTGCCAAAACCGGTTTGGCTCAGTGGATAGAGCGTCGGCCTGTGGACTCAAGGGTCCCAGGTTCAATTCCGGTCAAGGGCATGTACCTTGGTTGCGAGCACATCCCCAGTAGGGGGTGTGCAGGAGGCAGCAGCTGGTCAATATTTCTCTCTCATCAATGTTTCTAACTCTCTATCCCTCTCCCTTTCTCTCTGTAAAAAAATCAATAAAATATATTGATATATATATATACATATATATATATATAAATATATATATATATATATATAAATATATATATATATATTTTTTTAAAAGGTTAATTGCTATGAGCGATTTAGTGGTGAGTGTGAAGGCCTAGGACTTTACTGTACCTTACTGTAGACTTTGTAAACACTGTATGCCTACAGTAAATTGACAAAATGAGATCAAATCAAGCACAGGAGACAATAATGCAATCAAGAGATGCTAAAAACACAAGATCGTTGAAGGTGCTACTGGATTAACAGCATTTGCTGTTTTGCAGCAAACATTTTTATAAGTAGAAAGTATATTCTAAAATAATGATTAAAAAGTATAGTATAGCCCTAACTGGTTTGGCTCAGTAGATAGAGCATTGGCCTGCAGAATGAAGGGTCCCAGGTTCGATTCTGGTGAAGGGCATGTACCTTGGTTGCAGGTACATCCCCAGTAGGAGGTGTGCAGGAGGCAGCTGATCAATGTTTTTCTCTCATTAATGTTTCTAATTCTCTATCCCTCTCCCTTCCTCTCTGTTGAAATTGAGAGAACTGGGCACTTAGATTTTTCCTCATATTATAATTTTTTAAAAGTTTAAAACAAAGAATGATGTTTTTACTTACCTTTGAAGAAGAATCAGAATCCTTTCCATTAAGAAGACCTAATACTTGATTAAGACATGAAGAAAAGTGCTCATACCTAGGTTTAAAATAAAAAATATACATTAAATAAATAACATTGTAATAACTATATAGGATGCTAGGTGGGTACTGGAAATATCAGGGGGAAACAACTTGGTATATTGTTGTCTAACCACTACGCTGTATACCCAAAATTAATACAAAATTAAAAAAATATATCAAGTAAATTATAAAATTGATACATCAAAAATAATTTATGTACAAAACAAATATAAAATGTAATTATATTTTCTTTCATCTATTTATTTTGGCTTCTAATATAAAAGTCTTTATAAAGTTTTTCTCAAAACTCACCATAAAGCATATTCTACCACACTGATGTACATAAATTGGCTGACATTTATAAAATGATGAAAAAAAAATGATACGTGGTAATAATCACTGAAACTTTCTATATCTCCATAGTGATTTTTTTAAAGGTTGTAAAATTCAAGGAACACTAATATACAATAAATTAGACAGATACTTATTTATAAAGCATCTACAATTTCCAGACATTAATTTAGGCTTTGCAGATATAGAGGTAAGAAGCACGGCCTTATGTTAAACAACTCTAAGAGATACTAGTGATACCATTCACATTATGTTCCATGTGACTGGTACATCCTAGATTTGGGAGAACAGTGCCCTGTCAGAGAACTCACAGCATAAGGATGGAGGCAGAAGGACAAAATAATATAATGTAACGTAAAATATGCTATAATGAAAATGTATAAAATGCTATGAAATAAGATGGATATAAACCCAGATTTGGTAGAAACAGGCCTGATCAAGTGAAGCTTTGCAAACTTAAGTCTTAAAGAACAAAAAGGTGCCCTGACCCGTTTGGCTCAGAGGATAGAGCATCGGCCTGCGAACTGAAGGATCCCATGTTCATTTCCAGTCAAGGGCATTTACCTTGGTTGTGGACACATCCCCAGTAGGGGGTGTGCAGGAGACAGCAGCTGATCAATGTTTCTCATATATGTTTCTAATATATCCCTCTCCCTTTCTCTCTGTAAAAGATCAATAAAACATATATTTTTTTAAAAAGGCACCAGACATATATAATGGAAAGAGTATTTCAGCCATCCAGATGAAGCACTCCAGAGGAAATGGTACATGGATACATGAAATGGCATATCTAGCAAGTTGATGATTCTATTTATTGTCTGAAATGATTATACAAAAATATATACAAAAGAAAATGTGAAGAAATACAGCTGATAGATTGCCAGTCACCACATTTGGAGGGCTATATTAAGAATTTGAATATTCACCCTGAATACAATGGTAGATCAGAATTAAAGGGACATACAGTTGAAGAAAAAGGTGAGAGTTGAGCATATGTATAAATCAAGGAAGTCAACTGAATGGTAGGCACTAGAGAGATAGGAGAAACTGCTGAAAATAGGACAGAATAAAACTTAATGCACAGAATAATGGGATATGTTTATAAACAAAACAGGACACTCAGTAAGAATTGGAATAAACACGGGTAACTTTGCCCATAACATATTTGAGATAACTGCAATTATATATGATTCTGTGTTGTTGTGTTGTTGTTTTTTCTGTGAAACAAAGATTAAGGACATCTTCTAAGTGAAAAGTGGCAGATGAAAATAGTAAATATTTAAAGGAGCTACTGTAGAAAATGTGAAAGAAAGCTGAATGGGAATAAATGTAAGAGGTGTTAAGTTAGAGATCATAAACATGCAGCATAAAAATTTATAAGGTATGTTTTTCTCAAGCTTCGATCAGGAACTTAGGGATTCAATTAGACTTTGGAACAGTAATGATTTGTTAAATGGTAGAGCAAATACATAGAGGTCAACATACATAGAGGTCCCCTTTCCAGAGGGGACTCTAAGGTTCTAGGTTAGACAGAAAAGAAAATAGATAATGCAACTGAGAGATATCCAGAAGTGAGTAAACAACCACTTAGTAATGTTAAATCAGATTATCTTTCTGTCCTAGAGAGGTATACTCAAAATAATTTTTCTGCTTACTCCAAAGCTGTTAAATAAGTACCATTTGGTGGTCAGAATGGGTATTACATGAAAATATATTGGGAAGATAAAGAGAGCACTCTGGAAGACAGTTCTCTTATATACTGATGCTTAAGAGAAGAAAATATAAAAATGCCAATGTGAATGCTATTTGGTATTACAAAGTATTATTAACTATATGACTTCTCCTCCCCCATGCTTGACCATAGTAGAGCTCAATAAACATTTTCTTGTTTCTGAATGGTTTGTTAATTTAACTCTTAAAAACAATTTCATGGGGAGGGGAGGAAGATCTGGGGGAGATAGTAGATCAACCGAAGGACTTGTGTACATGCATATAAGTACAACCAATGGACATAAAACTCTGGGGAGGGAGGGTATGTATGGGAGGGAGGGGGGGCAAAAAAAATCAATAAAATATATTAAAAACAACAACAACAATTTCAACAATTTTCTAACTTAGGATCACACTAGGAAAACTTAACTCAAGATACAAAAACTGTGAGCTCTCTGGGAAACAGTTACTAATCAATCTCAAAACATAAATAATCACATGAAATGCCATTGAAATAAAACAAACATTTAAACATGTGTTCTCATTTTTACCTTATAACACACTAGAAACACCCACTGAAGGAAATATCAATTTTTATAAAAAAAGAAAACACAAAAAGACATACTGAAAGAATAAAAATATTCTTTTAAAAAATCATATTTAAGATTTAAAACTGGTTTTGAAACAGATTAATCATGGTGTGCACATTTGGAGACTAATACAACTTTATTCATCTAAAGCAAAGACTGAAACTTACACACACGCCTTGTTATACTTTTACATTTCAGGCCGGGAAAGCAAAAAGAATGGGAATAAAGCACATCGAAATATCCTTATTTGGTCTATTGTGAATCAGTAGAATTCAAGTTTACTAAATCTAAAAAGACAATTTTAGTATTTTTAAGTCTTAAAATTTGTCAGAGAGTCATACCTGGTAAGATAATCAGCAATTTTAGGATTCTTAAGGAGATCCATCAGTAGATCAACTGAATACTTTCTGGTTAGTGTGCCATCACCGTTTATGAGAATATTAAATATTAGCTGAAAAGTCTGATGAATGTTTCGAGCATGGAACAACTTAAAAACAAATTAGGGAAAGCATATTATACAAAAAAAAAAAAAAAAGAGTTAAGTTGAAATCATCCTAAAACTTAGTAAAGAGGCTCAATGACATAAAGTATCAGAGAATAAAACTTCATAATTATCTTAAAAAATATTAATAAGAAATCATATTTACCTTTTCTCCCACCTCTTCGTTTAATGTCAAACTGGATAATATTGAAAGTGCAAACACAACTACAGTTAAACTACTATGGGCCATGTAGCTTATAAGAGTTCGATAAAAAGATTTCACATTATTCTGAGGAAAAAGAAATTTAAAAATTAAATTAGAATAAAAAATTGTTTTATATTTGAGTTCAAAAAGCATATCTTCCATAGGGTAGGTAAGCTTTTATTATTAAACATTCTTATTAACTTAAGAGATCATTTCAAGAAGATATTTTATATATTGTGTACAGTAGTATCAACAGGCACAATCTTGGTGAAGAACACTGTTTAGATTCGGGATTAAGAGTAAAAGTTTAATAACCCCACCTCAAAATAAGATCAGGTCAGAATAATCCAACATGAAGAAATGAGATATTATTTAATTTAAAACTAAACAGGTAATAGGTTACAACATAGACTGATGAACAAGAACACACCCAGAGATAAGGAGCCATGGGTCAGATTCAAAGGGAGGGTGGGGATAAAAGGGAGGGTGGACCTCAAAGGGAGGGTGGGGATAAAAGGGAGAGATCAACCAAAGGATTTATGTGCACACATATGAACCTAACCTGTGGTCAAGGACAATAGTGGGTTGGGGCATAAGTGGGAAGGGAATTGAAATGGGGGGTTGAGGACAAATATGTGGTACCATAATCAATAAAGAAATTAATTTAAAAAAATAGATTGCACAGCAGGGGAACTGTTCACAAAGTACCTTAAACAATCAACAAACTTCCTAGATTTAATACATTTCTAATGGGTCAGTTAAATGCATCAGTGTGCCTTCACTTGTTGCAAGTACTGGTGCAAGTCATTTACTGATTAATCTTTTGGTGGAGTTGACACTGATTTTGTGGAAATACAAAGAATAGGGTAAAAGGGATTGCCTATGATGTGCCTTCCTTCTATCAGCTAAAAATAATTTAATTTTTCTTGTGTTAGTCAATATAATAAATAATGCTACCAGAAGGAAATCTTTTAGTATTCAACACTTGTATTAACTCTTAACATCTTAAATACAACACATATGAAAGCTGGAATAATTCAAATTATTTATATGTCAATTTGATTCTTCATTAAGTCTGATGAATTAGCTAGACAAGAGAAAAATGAATGAAATGTCCTTGAAACATAGAAGCAACCACAAAACAAGAAACATCTAATAAAATTCTTACCAAACTCTTTATGTGTGTTTGAACAGAAAGATTGTGTCGACAAAGATTTGCCAATAATCCCAAACAAGGCATTGTTAACTCATCTTCAGAAGACTGACTGTTATTTGAGAAAAAACATAAAAAAATGATTAAATTCACTTTAAAGTATTCAAAATTTATACATATAAATTCCTCTTTGCATGCAAAAAGAAAAATCTGATTTAACATGTGAAGACCATCAAGTTTTGAATAGTACTGCCCACTTATTTCATGTTTTGAAACAAAACTATCCTATTTAATTGCAGTACAGAAATATGAAAACATGTAAAGTGAAATAAGTCAGTTAGAGAAAGACAAGTATCACATAATCTTACTCATATGTGAAATCTCATTAACAAAATAAACTGATAGAGTGAATCCAGAGACATGGAAGCATGGAATAGAGTGTGGAATCTCAAAGAGAAGGCGGAAAAGGGTGGGTGAGTGGGAGGTAATCAACAACAGCAGCAATAAAAAAAGAAATATAAAAACAACTGTCAGAGTGACCATGTGCTATCTCATCAGTATATTTTCTTATCAAGAAGATTAAATATAAACACAATTTTCAGGGTCAATAATTTCTTTCTGTTCAAATAAAGTCATTTCATAAATTTTTGATATAAAAATTAAAGCTGGTTTATATCATTTGATTCTTAAAATTATCTAAGAGTAGATAAGAAATCAGTCTCAGTTTAAAGAAGATGGGGAAATTTAAGAAAAACTGAATTGTGACATGGTTTTAGTTTAAAAATAAACCAATAGATTATTTGGTTACATGTTTGGTTGGATACTCACATATGATCTATCAGGAATGTAATTAAGTCATCTATATTTGCACCAGAATGGAAAATTTTGACGTTATATGTTAACTTTTGCAGAAGTTGAATGCACTAAGAATAAAAAACAGTAATGAATATAAACACAATAAAACATACTGCATATTCACAAACTACAGAGTTCTATACATATTCTGAACATATCACCATTTTAGAAGGCAGAATTTAGAGCAAAAATGTTTCCATTTCTTAAAATGGTTTTCTCTTTTTAACACAAAGTAATAAGACTACCAGGAACTGTAGGATTCATCCTCTGATTCACACACTCCTATATATCCTATCTTAAACAAAGCATCTTTTCATCAACCTGGTTTACTTTATCATCTTAAAAGTATATGTAGGTTGAAACATATATATTCCATCAATTCTAAGATATATATTTTTTCACATTTACCATATTTAAAATTTAATGTATGTTTAATTGCCAACACTTTACATTTTTACAACTGCATTTTAGGTTCAATAAAATATTATGGGTATAAAAGCTTTGAGTCTATGCTAAATAAGATTAAATCTACAGTACGGTATACCTTCAATTTTGTAGAATGTTTCCTCAACAATGAGACTAGATGCCAACTCAAATTAAAATTTTAATGTAAATAACTGTCTAAATGCTGACATCTGTGTTTATAAGTCTGTCAAATAAGTTATAATATATATTGTTTTCTTTAGTAATAGTGCTAATGTGACTAAGCTTCCCTTCTCCACAACTTATAAATAGTGGTACATGTGTGATAAACTAGTTTTTAAATTTATTAATGGTAAGAATGTGCCTAATCATTCATATTGTACTCTATAAGCTAGCAGTTGCTAACAGATACTATCAATTTTAATATGAAAATAAGGAAGAATAAGTACGCAGTGAAAAGTATTGTGTGGGTGTATATACCTGCAAAAACACTGAATCACTGTGGCAAGTGCTGCTCCGACATACCACTCCTGCCAACACATTATTCAGGTTATACGTATTCTGAAGATAGTCTCTTGTTTCATTGTCTGCAGCTGTAAATTAAAATGCATAAAACATTATCAATTTTACATATTTTCTTCATAGATGAAAGTCATAATTTTAAATTCTATATCAAATTTACCATTATATAAAAACATTAAATATTATATGATTGTTTTACATACAAATAATTCCCAATGCAGTCTAATCATAGAAATTGAGCTGTCAAAGAGAAGGGAGTAATAGCTTTGCCCTTTTTTTTTTTGCTAATAAACAAATGATTTCTCAATGTAAGCTAAATAATCTCAAGGAAAACACCTTGAGATTTCTACAGCCTGCTTGTAGAAATTTTGCTGTTAAATTATTTCAATGCTTCTATAATCTAAAACTGCTCTAAAATTAAAGTCTATTAACTAAAAAGTAAATAAAAATTTTAAAAGAAAATGTTAAGATAATCTCTTTAACATATTTAAACATTAAAAGTGACTGCCAGTCTCATATAAATGGTTGGTGGATATCGGAATTGCATAGCCTTTTGGGAAAGCAATTTAGTAATGATTGTTAAATTGAACAATGTCTGAATATTCTACTGGGAATTTATTCAACAATTACTCAAATATTTGAGCAAAAATACAGAAAAATGTATTAATTCTAAAAGCAAAAAACACAAAAAAGAACATATCTGAGTACACACATCCTTAGTGGAGTGGTTGAATAAATTATAGTACTCTACAATGTGGCACAAAGTATCTATTAAAAAGAAAGCATTATGGAAAGATCTAAAATATAGCAAGTATAAAAGAAAACATGCAGTGCTCTGCAACACCATTTTTGTTAAAAATAAGTGAAATTATTTGTTAATATTTTAATCTATTATCATTTGTAATAATATAGAATAAGATCTGGAAAAACACATATCAAACCATTAAGAAAAATCCCAAATATCTTCCCCAAGGTGGAAATGATATAGAAGATGGTGATGATGAATAAAGACTAATTCTGTTTTACTCTCAATATCTATGCTAATTTGGTAGTGACTAAGCCACATGTGGCTATTTAAATATACATTAATTAAAAGATTAGGTTCCTTAGTCTAGTACTCACACTTCAAATGCTCAACAGTACTATGTGGCTTATAGGTACTATATTTAACAACAGATAGAGAACATTTTCATCAAGAAAGTTCTATTTTTCTTTTTTATTTCAGAGAAAAAGGGAGAGGGAGAGAGAGAAACATCAATCATGAGAATCATTGATTGGCTGTCTCCTACACACCAAACACTGGAGATAGAGGCTGCAACCCAGGCATATTTGAGCAAATATTGGCTAAGGATTGAACCGTAATCTCCTGGTTCATAGGCCAACGCTCAACCAGAGCCACGCCAGTTGGTCAGACTGATCGTTCTGGATCACTGTTATTTTTTTTTTAATAGCAAGAATTAATTTTATAGTCACAAACAAAATTATCTCCACTATGCCTCAAAACACAAATCAATAAAAAAGGTAACTATTAAGTGAAAATTTAAAAACTAAAGCTTTAGGTAGGAAAAAATCAAAAAAGCGACACCTATATTTTTTACCATTAGCTCCAGTTCAGTGTAGTCTATTAAAAAAAAAAAAAAAAAAAGATGATTTAATTGATCATTAGCTATAACTTTTCTCAGCAGCGTATTTAATAATGGCATTACGTGAATGTAGTTTTTATTTATTTTTTTTAAATTCAAAAATAGGTCAGCATTTCCAAAAGTGTATTCTTATTTGTAGACCACTGAACCTGATATGTCTGAGATAATTCGTTCCAATAATTTTAAAAAAGGATGCATAGAATATTTCCATTTCAAGAGATCCACAGAACAAATAGTTCTATAAGGTCCTGCAATGAAGAAATCTTTGGGATGTGAACCATTCTCCTAACGATTCTATAACTAAATCTGCCCTTTAAAATTATTACTTTAAAAAATCTTCTAAAAACTTAAAAAGAGAAGTTAAATTACCTAATTGAGATAACAAACTGATGATACTGGAGATCAGTGGTGTATTTATGTTTGGGTCTTCAAGTAGTTCTAGAAGACAACTCAAGCATTCACTTGGTAATATTTGATTTGACGTAAATAATCGTGTGAGCTTCTGTCCAGAAATTACCTATAAAAATAGTAATTAAAATGTGTTAGTTAAAAACTGGCACCCTTGCAGGTGTCGCTCAGTTGGTTGGACATTGTTCTGTGCACCAAAAGGTTTCAGGTTTCAGGTTCTATTCCCCGTCAGAGCACATACCCCGATTTCAGGCTCAATCTGGGAGAGGCTGTGCAGAAGGCACCTGATTGATGTTTCTCTCTCTCTCTCTCTCTCTCTCAATAAAAAAATATATTTTTTTAATAACTGGCAGTTTTCATCTCTTTCCCATTTGAAATTAAAAACTTAGTTCTTCCAAAATGCCACTGCCACACTCCCAATTTTGAAAATTCATACATGCTGATACCTCTTGCTGATGAAGTACCTATTCCTTCTCTCACTGGCTAATGTAATCATTTGGGTTTCAGCTTTATTTCCTCCAGGAACTTTTTCTAACCCTCTTCTATCAACTACATTAGATTTGCCTATTACTCTATCCTACAGTACATTATACTTTTATTTCATAAACTGGCAAACTTTTAATGACTTAGCAATATTTATCCTCCCTACTACACTGAACACTCAATGAAGGCATCAACTACAAATCAACACTCTACTACCAATATATTTATTGAATAGATGAATTCTAGTACTTGCATTCCACCTACTTTAAGGGAGACTATAGAAAGTGAAAAGTTGCTAATTCAAAGGCTTAGCTATGCAATTGACTATGTGATTATTTCTGCTCCCTCCCAAAAACAATTGCTGAGCCTAGAAATTAGAGATTACCAAAGAGGAATTTAAAAAAAAATTAAGTAGCCATGTCAGGCCTAGACAAATTTTATCTTTGGATATTCCACTTTTTACTCCTCTCTTATAATCCTATAAATCATCTTACCCCACCCCTTCGAAAGGTAAAGCTGGGATTAAAGGCACAAAATAGTTGTCAGAAAGCATGTATTTTCAAAATGTTTTTTTGAATGTTATTCATTAATAACATGTTTTTATTTTTAAAAGACCTAGTCTCACCTGGAGAGCAATAGGCTAAGCGAAATAAGCCAGTTGGAGAAAGATAAATCATATGATCTCACTAATTTGTGGAATAAAATTAACAACATAAACTGATGAACAAAAATAGATCCAGAAACATAGAAGCATCAAACAGACCCCCAAATCTCAGAAGGAAGGCTTGGGAGGGTGAGAGGGTGGGAGGTAAGAGATCAACCAAAGGACTTGTATGCATGCATATAAGCATAACCAATGGACACAGACAGTAGAGGGGTGAGGGCATGTGCTGGGGGGTGGGAGCAGCGGGAAGAGGTCAATGGGGAAAAAAGGTGACATACGTAATATTTTGGATTTAAATTTTAAAAATAAATAAATAAAAGATCAAGTCTCAGAAGGTTGTTTTAGCATCCCTCTAATCTTTCTGTGTCCCTTTATTCCCTCACCAAGATGTCAGTTTTTCTTCTAAAGCTTTGCTGATAAGGGAGTTTCAGAATATCTTTTCCTGTGAATTATGTGTTTTAACATTAAAGTAAAAGTCTGTAAGACTGAAAAATGGTGCAAAGGTGAAATGAGATACTGGTAGAAGATATTTTGTGAGAAGGAACCTTCTGAGCACTGTCCTTTTATCTACTTATAGAGCTAGCCCTCTAGAAGATGAAGATATTTTCTGCTTTAAATATAATTTCCCTCAAGACGGACCCAAGTTTAAATAATAATGTACTCTAACATGTAATAATTATTTATTGCGAGATAAATTTTAAAAGCTGCTTCATAAATTTTATTTTGTACACATAGAATGTGTTATGTAAATACAATTTATATTAATGATAACTAATACTTTGGCACTTGCTCTGGCCTAGGTACATTGTATATGTTAATTCTTTTCATATTCATAATAATCTGCAATTTACAGGTAATTATTAGACTAGAAGCCTGGTGCACAAAATTCATGAACGGAGGCAGGGGGTCCCCTAAACCTAACCTGCACCCTCTCCAATCCAGAATCTCTTGGGGAATGTCTGACTGCTGGTACCACTGGCTCCTAACTGCTCACCTGCCTGATAGCTCCCAGTTGCCTCCCCTGTGCCCCTAACTGCTCCCCCCCCCCCCCACTGGCCTGGTCATCCCTAACTGTGACCCCTGCTGGCCGGGTGACTGCCAATTGCCTCCCCAGGGACATGGATGCCTCACGCAGCCTGCTGCTCGGTCTTTTGGTCACCCCTTACTAATCCTCCTGTGGCCTAGTCACCTCACACAGCTTGTTCAGTCGTCCATTTGGTTGTGATGGTTACTTAGGCTTTTATATATATAGATGAGTAAACCGAAGCACAAACTACAGTAGCTTAATTGGGATTCATTGTTCCTGAATCAATGCTCATAATCATTACATAAGACTGGTGTTATGAGAAGCCACCAAGATTGAGACCAGTTCAGCCCTTTCAATCAAAAAATAATTCAAATCTCAGGTTCTGCCTGGGACTACAAAGAAAAATTAGCACAAGTGCAGCAAAACAGGAGAATGAATCATCAATCTTTCACAGAATAACAATCTCTCTTTGTATCTTCAGATACTGCTCTCATGAGATCTGCACAAAGATAGTCACCATTAATATCACAAAAATGGTCAAAATTTAGAAATCTGAAAACACTAAGGATTGTTCTGGATGAAGGATGGCAATTTTCACCTGAAATTGAACATAGCTGTGAAATCAACAATTCCACTTCTAGGTATGTAAAATATATGAATGCACATATCAACAAAAAAAAGGTATGAAAGTACTTACAACACATTTTTTCAAGTTCTATCCAGAAATGGAAACAACCCAAATGCCAATCAACAGAATATAAATAAACTGGTGAATTTATAAAATGGAATTTTACAAAGTAATAAAAAAGAGTAAAGTGTGCAACATTAATGAATTTCAGATTATATTGAGTGAAAGAAGTCAGATATAAAGGTATATATATTATGTAAGTTTAGTTATCTAAATTGTATGAGAGGGAACAATTGAAAAAAAACCTATTAGAAATATTCTATATTATGATACAGATAGTAGCTACTTGAGCATACACATATATTAAAAAAACAGGAGGTTGAGGTTCAATTCCTGGTCAGGGCATTTGCCAAGGTTGTGGACTCATCCCAGGTGGGTGAGTGCAGGAGGTGGCCAATCAATGATTCTCTCTCATCATTGATGTTTCTAACTTTCTCCCTCTTCCTCCCTCTTTGAAATAAATAAAAACATTTAAAAAATTATGAAGCTCTTTCTTTAGTTAAGATTATTGCACATTATACACTAAATGTATGTTCTTTCTCTAAATGGTAGAAGATTTTTTAGTAAATCCCTTGAAAGTCTAGTAGCAAGTCCTTAAGCCGCATATTTCTTTAAAGTCTCCTTCAATTCACCATAACGAGGTGCTTAGATTTCACAACATACCTGTTTATTCTCAAAGACAGGTAATGTTTCAAATGAATATTTAAAATAGTTAATTCCTTTATCTTAAAATTAAACAACCCTGCTTATTTTGTGGCTTTGTGGATCTACTAGCACACTGTTCTATCCTAATTGAGAAGTAAAGTATTAGCATTTAACAGCTAATACCTTCATCATCATTAGGTTTGCAGAAATTTGTTGAGGTAATGAATGGAAAAAAAAAAAAAAGCACTTAAGAAATGGGCACCTGAAGTAGAAAGGAGAGCACCAATGAAGACACATTTAACGCACTCCAGTTGCACCAAAAACTGACATTACTGTACCATTAACGATAGCCTTCTCTTTGTCAGAGTTTGCTAATCTTTGGTAATTTAAGCTTTTATCACAGGGTTAATATAACAAATAAAATCTATTTTAAAATTATGTTCAAGTCTATGTTAATAGACGTAGTTACAGAGAGAATTAAAATAAGATTTGGTTGAGCTTAACTATTTTTTTTAAAATATGTTTTATTGATTTTGTACAGAGAGGAAGGAAGATTGAGAGTTAGAAACATCGATGAGAGTCATCGATCAGCTGCCTCTTGCACACCCCCTACTGGGGATATGCCCGCAACCAAGGTACATGCCCTTGACCAGAATCGAACCCTGGACCCTTCAGTCCCCAAGCCGACGCTCTACCCATTGAGCCAAACTGGTTTCAGCGAGCTTAACTATTCTTTATTAAAACTGAGGTCATTGTTATTTGGAATCCCATAATAAATGACAGCAGATTAAGAGCAAAAAAGTTACAATATAGAATAAGTACTCTAGACACAAATCAGTGGGAACTAATAGAAAAAATGAAAGCAATTCAATATTTTAGGATTGAAAAATTGTGAGCTATATGTTTTGGGAAAGAAAAAAAGGTTATGATTATTAGTAAGTGAAATTGCTTATAAAAGTTGACATAATATATTTCAAGTTCGAGTTAAAATAAAAGCAGTAAGGAACAGGTTTAGATTGTAAACTGCTTAAGGGACAAGGGATATAAAACAAATTTTAATCATCACTTCCTATCACTTTCACTCCCGAGAATTGAGAATTACTGGATATTGTCAGGACTGTTACCAGGGAAAAAAAATCAAAAGAAAAAGGGGAACACATGGAATAAGTTCAACAATGAACATTTAATTATCATTATTTTTTAATAAAAGGGAAAGGTGCAGGTTTGAGCTCTCTTCTCCACTAACCCCAAATACAGCCTAAATACCCCAACCTTTGGTGCCACCCTCCCTCTTCCTAGGCTCCTGTCTTTACGACGGTCGACAAACTTATTGGAGAAAGCGACCGGCGTGTGACTCCCGGGCCAGATATTGCTCCGGGGGTGTTAGAGTCGCCACTTCTACCCCCGCCATCTCCCGCCCCCGAGGCAACTGAAAGGACCGGAAGGGCCGAGGGGGCGGGGCGGCAGAGGGTGGAGTTCAGGCTGACCCTCGCTCGCCTTCTTCACCTACACACAAAGACAGCTGGGGAAAGGAGAAGCAGCCCTTCCTTTCCTAAGCCGGGGCCGCGACACCCTGGCCACACCGCGCACTGAATGCTGCTCCCGCCGGGAAGCCCCTCTCGCCCGCGCCGCCGGAGCCCCTCACCTCCAAGTGCCGCAAAAGCTGGGTCGCGTTCGCCTCCGACTTAACGGCTTTGTACTGGCTGATGGTCAGGAGCAAGGACTTCAAGCAGGCGGTGGAGTCCATCCGGAACCGCCACGGAGCTGCCAGGGAGTCAACACCACCACCCGGCCAGCCTGGGTGTCCAGTTTTCACCGCGCCTTTTTTTGACTTTCGGCCCCACCCCCCCGCTTCCAGGAACTTCCGGTTCCGGTCTGGATCCGGAAGTCCTTAGGACTGAGAGATGGGAGGGGGCGGGGGAGAAAAAGATGGAAGGTACGGGATGAGGGACTGCGAGATCTCGGCTCTCGAAGATTCCGTGAAGTGGGTTTAGCCGGAGTTGTCCTTTCGGACCCTTTCTCTGGGAAGCCGCGAGGTTTCATCTTCGCGATCCCAGCAAGACGAGAAATCTCGCGAGAAATGCGATTGCCGCCCCCTAGGAAGGGGCGATTGGGCGCCTGGGGTTCTTAGCGGGGGGGACAGCGTGTCGTGTTTTCGTTTGAGTCCGCGGCCTCCACGCTGGGTGGCCAGTTTTTCCTTTGCGCGCACTAGCGTCTACCTGAGACATGGTCGCTTCCCCCTAGAGTAGAGACGGTGAGGCGTTCTGAGGAGGAGGGACTAGGGCTCTAGTTGTTGAGGCGGCCTGGCTGGCGGTGGTGTCCTTTTCACAATCACACGTCCACCCCTCCTTCCCAGGGATGCTCGCTCCTCACTGGAAGCCCGTGGCTGCTGGGATTTTGTGCCAAGCGACTCGTGTCTTTACGGTGGTCGTCAGACTTGTTTGAGAAAGCTACCGGCGAGTGACTCCTGGGCCAGCTATTGCTCCGGGGGTGTTCTTAGCGTCAGTGCTTGTAAGTGAAGATGCCTGTTTTACCTCATTTCACAAGTCTCCCTGTCTGTGGACATGGCACAGTCGTTTGCGGTTTTTGATCAAAGATCATTCATATTGTGCATGTGCATTTCATGAAATAAGTCGAATAGCTGTTTCTGGAGGGTTTTTTGTTTTTTTGTTTTTTTTCTAGATACATGCTATCGCTGAAGAAAGCTTTAAAAAAACACTTTGGAGAAAATAGTAGAATAGGGTGCATTTGCCTTTTAAACTACTTGTCAGAAGTCATGTTTTTCTCGATTCAAATAAAGTGTTTTCTTTTTGCATCACATTTTAAAGACAGGATCTTTATATTAAAATCAATTTTAAAATTCTGAAAGCTTAATCTAGCCGATTGAGGCATGCCACATACACGTAAAAATATTTGGGTCATTAATATATTTATGCATTTACTTATTTTGCCAATAATTATTGAGTGTGTAGCGTGGACTAAACATTGCCAGTCAGGGGACAAAGATGAAGTAACCCCCGCTGGGAAGGAGCTGTCTAATATGGGAAGCATCCTAAATGGTACCTGTGTAATTCACTACATAAATTAGAGGCATCAGGCTGTTACAGTACCCCGAAAATAAGACCTAGCGCATGGAAAGATAAGACATTCCCTGAAAATAAGACCTATTGCAACTTTGGGAGAAAAAAAAATATAAGACACTGCCTTATTTTCGGGGAAACAGGGTAATTACTTGGAGTGTAGTCACGTTAGCTGCTTGCAAATCCCAGCTCTTCCTTGTACTGAGTGACCATAGACAGATTCTCATTGCTTCAGCCTCTTCATAAGGTAAAACCTCACAAACAGTAATACTACTTGTTTCATAAGATTGTTCATTCAATAAATAATTAGAGCCTACAATATGCTAGGCAGTAGATTCAGTGAATAAAATAGTTCTGTAAGATCCAAACATTACATTCTGGTAGGGAAATGAAGTGGAAAAAATAGAACAGATGAAAAGACTTAAGAGAAATGTGTAATAGTTTTCCATAACACAGTAATTATTTGCTGTGCTGTGAATGTTTTATTCAAGATTTTATGTCTATGGCCGAAACCGGTTTGGCTCAGTGGTAGAGCGTCGGGCTGCAGACTGAAAGGTCCCAGGTTCGATTCTGGTCAAGGGCATGTACATTGGTTGCGGGCACATCCCCGGTAGGGGGTGTGCAAGAGGCAGCTGGTTGATGTTTCTCTCTCATCGACGGTTCTAGCTCTCTATCTCTCTCCCTTCCTCTCTGTAAAAAATCAATAAAATATATATTTTAAAAAAAGATTTTGTCTATATTCATGAGAATTAAAAATATTTTCTTTATTCTCTCTTGGAATTTGGGTTATGTGTTATTTTTGAAAAATTAATTGGAAGTTTTCCATCTCTCCCCCCTTCCCTCCTTCCCCCCCCCCCCCCCCCCGTGCTAGAGAATAATGAGAATCACATAGGAATCATCTGATCTTTGTGAGTTGTACACAACTGATGAATAAATTAAGCTTGAGAGCTTATTTAGTGGTTGATCTTTAGAAAATATTTGTATTTTAGTAAGGTTGTTGATTTCATAATATTTTTCTATTTATTTTTTAAATGTGTTTTATCAATTTTTTTAAAGAGAGGAGGGGAGAGGGATAGAGAGTTAGAAACATCGATGAGAAAGAAACATTGATTAGCCACCTCCTGCATATCCCCTACTGAGGATGTGCCCACAACCAAGGTACATGCCCTTGACCAGAATCGAACCTGGGGACCCTTCAGTCCACAGGCTGATGCTCTATCCATTGAACCAAACCAGTTAGGGCATATTTTTCTATTTTTTTCTTGAGTTGGTTTTGGAAATTAGAAATTTTTAACATACCAACTCCTTATCTAGATTAAAAAATTATGTAAACTTGCATCAGTATTCTAAAATTCTCAGTACCTCTTTGTAGTTTTAAGTTTCCTTTTCATCCTAATGTTATTTCTCTTTTCTTAGTTGGACTTTACAGCCATTAGTCTATTTAGTATTTCAATAATCAACTTTGGCTTTATTCTTGTTTTTACTTTTTAGTAATTCCATTCATAAACATAGAGAAAAACAGAGACTCTATCTTGACCCAATGGTTGTCCGCATGGATCAGTCTTGTAGCATCTGGGCTGCTCTTGACTTCTAAAGGAGAACTTGAAGTTGGCAGAGAAATGAAATAATCTACACATAAGCTCTTACTTCTGCTTTCAGAGGCCTTTCAGTGTGCAGAAGGATGGGAGGCTTCATTCTTTAAATCAATAGTGAGTGTTTAACTGTGCCAGGTCTTCTAGGCACGAGGGATAAAACAGAGGGCTCAAAGATATTTTTTTCTGACTTTGTAGGGGTTGCATTCTAGCAGGATCATGAGACCAAATATAAAACTAGATTATTCAATAGGCATAAATAGGTAGAACAAACATCTTATTGGTCCAGGTTCTAATGATTAAAGGCTACGAAAGTCAGTGGTATAACTGGCAAGAGGTTTAAGTATAGGGTCATTTGGATACCATGTCCCCACTATGGCTAAAACAATTCAAATATTAATATTAAATTGATTTTATCCTTTTTGCAGGTCCAGAAAACAGAGTCTGAACAATTAATGCCACTTCTCATTTTTCAGAAATGTTTATCTTCATCACAAAACCAGAGAACATATATAAACCAAAAATATTCTCTCTTTATAATTATTCTTCCTGTTTCCTTTCCCAACTGTTAAGTATTACAAGTCAAGTAATCTCTAAAAGATTTGCCAAATGATTAAAAAAAAAACTTTTTCACTTTCAAATTATTTCTGATTTTTTTTCTATACATTTTACAGAATTCAACTCAAGGGTAAGAGTACAAGGTTTGAATATTTTTGGTAAATGTTTTCCCTACCATTTTTATTAATATTATTTTTAAATATATTTTTATTAATTTCAGAAAGGAGAGAAGAGGGAGAGAGAGAAGTATCAATGATGAAAGAGAATCATTGATCTGTTGCCTCCTGCACGCCCCCTTCCGGGGGATTGATCTTGCAACCTAGCATGTGCCCCTGACTGGAATCAAATGCTAGACTCTTCAGTCAACAAGCCAACACTATCCACTGAGCCAAACTGGCTACAGCTTCCCTGCCATTTTTACATGTAATTTCAGAAGGTTGTCATTTTGTTTAAACACAAATACTACCCATTATTTCTGAGTTCAATTTTGTAAATAATAAATGTGAATGTGACATACTTTATGTTAAAGTACAGTAATCATTTTTAATTATAACTAATATATATTGAAGGTCTACTTTGTGCAGAGAGGTCCTCTATATGTCTCAATTTTACATTTCTGGTCTTTCAGAAAATAGATATTATTAAGTTCATGAAGTGAGTAGATATCTGTTTCCTGAACTGAAATGTGAAACTTTTCTAAGACAGTGGTACCCAAAATAGAGTGCACATCTCGAGATATGTGAAAACATCTATTGGGTTGTGGAACAAATATTAGAACTTTTATTTTTACTTATTTTAATTTCATTCTTTATAATATTATAGCTGTAGTTGTATATAATTGATAGGTGAATTGCTGTTCATTTATATTAGTGTATTATCAGGTTTATTGCTTTAAAGATAATGTGATCAAATAATTGGAGACTTCCTCCAAATCTTTAACTTTGACAGAGTATTTAGACAAGTATTATTAATTTCAGTATCAAATATAGTATCTGGTATTATTCTGAATTGTTTTGTTGAGCAAATGAATTCTCTTAGCAAAAACTAATGTGAATAGTATACTATGAAACATTAAGATGCATGATTGTCTTTTAAAAATACATTTTTATTAATTTTAGAGAGGGAGAGTGATGAAACACCAATGATGAGAGAGAATCGTTGATTAGACTGCCTCCTGCACACCCCACATGGGATGAAACCTGCAACCTGGGCCCTGATTGGGAATTGAAACCTGACCTCCTGGTTCATAGGTCAACGCTCAACCACTGATTCACATTGGCTGGGCAGCATGATTATTTTTACAGTATCATTTACTGACCAGTGCAGTCATGTAAATAATTTTATTTCTGAGTAATTATTACCTAGTTCAACATCTAATTTTTTACACTAAATGTAGGTATATAAAGTAAAATATTTCACTTAATGGTGCATAGTAGAAATAATATGGAATTTGTGGTTGGTGAAACTTGGGCATGAATTTCTGGTCTTATTGATATATTAGCTATGTGAACTTTCTAGGCTTTAGTTTCTTAATTTTTAAAATGGAATCTTCTATAATAATAAAAGTGTAATATACAAATTGACTGAATGGATGAACAGCAGAATGACCTTCTAGACAACCATGCTATGACATGCACTGGGCCAGGCCAGCCAAGGCGGGAGCCATGTGATTGGTTGAAGTACCCCCACTCCCCATCACTGACCAGTATCATCCTGCCCCACATAGGGAGGCCCAGGCTACTTGGCCAAAGGTGCTGCCAGAGGGTGCCAGCTTGGCTGAGGGACCCCCTGAGTGCATTGGGCCTCTAGTAGA